CAATATTTTTACATCATCTGCAAACATGGCACACTTAACGCAGGGGGTTAAGTAAGTAAGGCCATAGCAGCTGCGATCTTCAGACCATGGTTACTCAGTAGAGGTGAAGTCGTTGGAGGCCAGAACAGAAGTAAGTTTATTGTGCACACAGAGGAACGGAGAATAAGGAGGTAGAAATTGGACTTGGGAGCACACGACCACCCAGGAGACTGGCCGTGTCCCAAGTGATGTCTGGCGGCCGAGGGTGGGGAAGAAGGGACATGTTCGAGTGATGCTTGGGCAGTCGCGAGAACCTAGACGCACGTGTGTGTCCGAGTGGAAGACGGTCAAGTCTCTGTAGGTCAGCGCGTCTGTAAGCTTTGACTGAGGTACTGGATGACTTTGAGGCAACTGGCTTTGAACAATTACGCAGGACAAAGCAATGGAGGGCGTCGGCCGGCAGCGACCACTACACCTTCGCAGTCCAATTCCTGTACACAATCATTACCGAACAAGAGAAAGAGAGCCGGTCCGGGTACTGAACTGCAGCTGCACAACTACCGCCTTTGTTAAGCGATGTAATGTGCGTTGTTTTTCAATATGTTACGTGTGCATTTCCTTAAGTAGCTGTACAGCCATTTCGGATTTTTTACTGCTCGATGAAGTAAATCACTCTCAACGTCCTGTCGTCTATTGAAAAACATTTTTTTGCCTTGTTGCGCTGGATGTTGTATTCTTCGAAAGCTTCGTTATGGCTTGTTCTGCAAAACTTCTTTCAAGGCTTTTCTTTCTTATTGCTCTCTCTTTTTAGATCTCTTGTCAGCCACTGAGGTCAGTTAGATATCTTGGGCACTGATAGTGGACAATGACTTTGCAGTAGATGCAACAACCGCTACTTAACTTTATTCCAGTCCTCAGTGACATCCCCGGAGAAAAGAAGACCCAAGTCTATTTTCGATGACTATGTTCTCATTTGATAGAAGTCGCTTCGCCATGTAGTCGGCCTTGGTTTGGTGAGAGGTCATATGGTAGTAACAGTTTATTACATACAGAAAAAGTGGAAAACAGGTATGAGTAAAATGACTTTCGTACGAGCCCGCAACCACAGGCCAAAAAGCAGTGTCGGAAGTGAAGTGAACGCGGAAATCATCACAAGCGGCAAGAAGAGTCTTTATGTGAGTCGATCTTAAAAGGTGATAAACCGAACCGGAGTGGGTGGACATACCTTTTTTGGCTATCTAAGAGACCGAAATCTGCAGCATTGAGCGATTGCGCCTGAGCGTTTGCGCGGAATAAGTCACTAAAATTTTTTCTAGTGTGCACTTAGTCATGCATCTTCACCTACAATTTTTTTCTTTTACTATCTTCTTCTTTGTTGTTTTCTTGCATTTGAGCTTTAAAAGGGAGTTCACAAACTCGTCGGTAGCTGAGTAACTGACCATTTGACAAATGCAGATCAGTTGTATCTGACCATCGGACTAACGTTGAGTGCTCACGCAACCGTGAATCTAGCTTCGCCCATTTAAGTGTTAAATAAACAGAGACTTGCTCAACTAGGAGTTCTATATCTATGCGGATACGTGCAGCAGGATTTCTCGTTTAATAAGTGCCCGTGACTATACACCGAAACCTCGAATAATATAGATCCAATAAATTATTTGATTTGAAAAATAACTATGCAGCCACACTGCTCTCAAACGTGGATTGTGTTGAAAGACGCACTGATTAGTGTGACTGGAAAACTGGTTGTGGTAAGTTCTTCTCTTGTTCCTGTGTGGTTACTGATGTTTTCCGGCTGTTTTTGCGTATTCTGTACCAACGCCAGGCTTTAGTTCAAACATTGGTTTACGTTGTTGCTTCCCACCGGGAAATTTAGCAAGTCGCCACCCGAAATTTATTTATTTATTGTCATTTTTACAGGTAAATTAAAAGAAATACAGTTTAGCGGATAGAGCTGGCAGTGAAAAAACTTCTTACCATTATTTCTAGTGTTTGCCAGTAACTGGTTATTTTCAAGAAAAAAAACTCTAGCTTGTCAAATTATTGAAGCTCGGAACCGGAGATGTTTGTCACGGTTGCGCGATGTTGTCAGTCTCCCTTTAGTGTTATCGATCCGGTATTCTGCACCAGATAAAAGTATGTCGGCGAATATTTGCTCGCTGTCGGCTGAATACGTAAAGTAGTTTTTCTAGGTGTTCCCCCCTTCTGTGGACGTTCCATTGTGTCGAAAATTGTGACGCTATAGCCAGCAAAATACGAACTTTAAAAGTTATTTTTAACATGATATAGCCTGTAAAAATTTATTATTGTCTTTGAAGTGCTTTGTTGTCTTGGTAGTAGGGCTCTTCTAGTTCAAGTTGTATTTACCTTACCAGCCATTAATCGACAATGAATGCATAGCTGAAAGTATTTTGTGGTGGCTATTTGATCAAATTTCACCCTTTATCAATCACAATCTTTTGCATCTTTTGTTTTAGTTCACTTTTTACTCTTATGATTAAAATGATACATTTAACGTGGCTTGCTCCTCTTTTCACACATGAAAGTAACCTAGTGTTGGCATACCCGTTTTGCACTATTAAGCATACACGAGACTGTATTATACAGGAAACTGTGCTGTTGTAGTTTTTCTAATGATCTGTCTGTTGTGCAAACCGCGTCAGCTTTAGGGTAACCAACATTAATCATTCAAAATTTTCACCTGCACAATGAAATTAAATTTAGAAAAAAAAAAAACTTCGGCCGACAACAAACTCCTTCCAAAACAGGATACCACCTTGACCAACAGTGACGTGGTTGGTAAAAGAGCAAAATGATTCGGAATTTTTCCCATTTAACCGTGGTGTTACATTTTCAGTGTAAATAAGATACGATTTCTCATAGTTAGTATTATCAAGTGGAATCAATCCTTTTATTGTACTATCACGCTGTCTATTTCCTTACTTTATTGTCGACTGACGCTTTTCACTCACGGCGTAAACCTTAAAAATTGACGACTTAATTATCTGATGAGTGTTTACCCACACTCGCGTGGTCACTTTTACCTGCAGATGATCGATCATCGCCTTTCCTGCGACAGAGTCGATTTAACTTTTCCTCCTATTTTTAAGCTACGGATTTGGGTGCACCAAAGTTGCATATGGTCGCAAACGAGCTTAATAATAGTAACCCACCCAATAATAACTTGGATAGTATGGTAATGGGTCAACTTTGGGACGATTTAGGCGAGTCTATCTCCCATCCGCCACTACCTGCAT